GATGAGACCTCAACCAATGGTAGGACCGCGTTAGGAGAACATATCATAGCCTCAAACTTTGACCAAACACTACATTTTCCTTGTATTTTGCAGAAAATGAGGATAATAAGTGTTTAAAATTCTATCATAGAGGGAAGGGAAACCAAGGCAGATGAAAGAATTAGTTTAAATTAAGATGTGGGCCTTTGTTATATTAGAATGCTAACAAAATTTTGTCCTGAATGAAGTAGTTGGGAGATATGTCCAAAGTAGTAGAAGCCCATCTTCCTACTCATGGGGTACAGAATAAGAAAAAAATTTGTTTTCTTCTTTATGCGCTTATTATAAGTCCTGTGCTCCTATGGATTTTCTTTCGCGAGTATACATGAGAAAAAGAGAAAAAGGAAAAAAGAGAAGCAGTGGAAATAGAATCAATAAAGAGCTGTTCGCACACAGGAGATCAACAAGTAAAGCTACGAAAGTAACAAGAGGTAAATGCCGATGGGCTACATTGTTGATGTTTTATTTTTTTTGGATGAAACATAGGGTGTTGGGGTGACAGGACTCTTTCACCCAAATTAGGATGTCAGAACGGACAGTATTCGACGACGCGTCCTTTTAGGGTAGGACGACAGTATTATTGTCGAACATGGATTTACCCGAGAGCACAGCTTAACGGTTGGCAAATGTCCATGTCTCAGCTATTTTTGACAAACGTTGGAACGGATGATATTCTACATTTAGAGTTCTTCGAGTATGTCTTTGATGTAGGAAAAAAGCTACATAACGGTTGCAATGCGTGGATTTTTGTAACTACCTTGTAGGTTTGCTGTTGCGAGGTTCTCTTCAGCTGGAAAGTAGAATAATTTTGTAAAACAAATCCTGATTACGGCACTAAGGACCCAAAGCACTGCGATTAAGAAACCAACTGTATTAGAGCTTCAATGCTGACTCCAAATTGATATTATCAGTGAAATCAGCCAATATTGCATTTTCTTTGATATTCATGTAGTTTGGAAACATCCTACAAGGTCGTTTCATGTTGTGGACTCCAATATTAGGAAACATCTGGAGCTGCACCTAAGTGGACACCTCAGATGTATGTTTAACCACGTTATCTCGTGCTACGCAGTGTTAATAAAAGGAGGAGTTGACTTCCGCACGTTCCATTACCAGTGCTCATGCAACAGTTAGTATGAAAAGTGGGTCAAGTGATGCAATAAGGACGCCAACAGCGTGGTTGATTCACAACACAAAAAGTCATAATCGAAATTAATTGGTTCTTTGGCCTGGCTGGCATAAAGTTGATGTTTCTTCCCGTGTACAACTGTCGGCTAAAGTAGCTGTAATGCTAGCCAAATTCCCCAGAAAAAGTGTGATATAATTGTAGGCCTACACCGCTTGGGAAAACACGGGTGAAGGCTTGTCTAGTCGCTTACACAATTTCTGAAAAAGCCTCCTGACGTACAAAGTGACGAAAGTGTGGCTTATGTATGGTTGCTTACCTGTTATGCTGACCAACTTACCGATGAGCGTCACTTGAATTCACATAAGGTGGGAAGTTATCGATTTCCGATTCACACACCGAACGAAAGAATTCCGGTTAATTGAATTACTTAGATGACTAATCTCCTTTATGAAAAGGGTTAGGTTGCGTCATTCGGAATCCACGATCACGCTTCAAACCGCTTATTTGGCCCGACAGTCAAAAGGGCGATTCGAGAGCCTCACAAACGAGTTACGGAATCACTTCGTAAGCAGTTTGACCTGCAGCCACAACAACTACCTTCCATGCTTTGGTTTTTCACCGTGACAGCAAAGATGCGCACTTAGGACAGATGCATACTCTGGTTTTCTATTAATTTGGAGCGCATTTCAACGCCTGCACAGAATCCATCGTAAAAGCAAAGTAACAGCGCGGGCGACCGATAACACCAGAAAATGGATCAAAATTGAAGATCCTGTTAGCTTATGCTACGCAAAAGCTTATCAGAAGACAAATGCAAGACCAGAGTGGATCGAAACAGAACCCCGCCTCCTACCAAAAATAAGCAGACTTTCAAGTCGACATCAGCTATCTGATGTTTACAACCTTCATTCAAATTAATCCATCTAGCGGGAAAGTCACCCTTAGAAAGGGACAGTACAAGGAGCGATCTGTTAATCTAACGGAACGCATTCATACCACCAAACTCATAAGTTGCTGCTGCTGTAACGGTGGATAAGAAGGCGCTTCGACCACAACTACCCTTACTAGGGTACTTCAATCCGACAATTGAAGGGACGCAATTTCTTACTATGAAATTAAACTTGTCACGCACAAAAGGCAACGAGTACACAAATGGCGAATTTCAAGGTGGACAGAGGAAGGTTAGTTTCATTTTTTCCCACGGTGCTTATCTATCTCGGCAAGCAGGTTCTCAGCAGCCTCAGGACTCTTAACGCGAATGAGCATCGGGACAGGTCGGGGAGGTGAAGCTGCATCCTCTCCCTCCTTCGTTTTTGAATTTCCTGGTAGTGGTGGGGAGGGCACACAGGCGAAAGTGATGTTATTTTTCTGCAGCTGCATTGGAATATCCTTTGTTACCATTATATTTAGAAGTATATTTCCTGAAAGGAAGAGGTAGCACCAATTTAGCTTACAAGTGAAATTATATGAATCAATATAAATCCATTCAAAAGTAACTTGGTAGGTGAATCGTTAAGAGACACTCAAGTATCGCTAATAATAAGCATTCCGAGGTTACAACCTTTATCATCTCAAACTTTCCACAACCCTTACCCAAATTAGTGTCAGCTCGAACGAGAAGTTGAAACTTTTCGTCACTAGAGGGGATAATATGAAGATTTCCTAGGCCTCGTTCAGTCCACTGATCGGCCTTTTTGTAAAAGAGTTTGCATCTACACAAAGAAAATAACAACTAGAAACTTAGCAAAAAGCGGTGTAAGCAAACCAATAAATACCTGACTGTGTAAACAGAACCTTCCTCCTTGATTTCCCTCACCTCAGGTTTCGGAGGAATGTACTCTTCCTCATCACCTAACATGAATAACTCAAATACACCTAAGGCATCTCCTACCTTGATCAATCCCAAGTGCAGCGTTAGTGGTGGTAGCGGAATCTGAATTTTCTGCCTGCTTTACTGGGGCAGAAGCGAAGGAAAACATTTGCGTATTTGGGGAAGTGCTATTCGAACTAGTTGTTGACGCTAATCCAAACTGGAAAAGGGGTGGTCTCGAAACGACTGACTCAGTGGTTGTCGTCGTCTGAAACTTGAAGCTAAATCCATTGGTAGTGGTTGTTGTTGCTGCTGTTGTGACAGGTTGAATCGGCGGGACCGCAGCTTCCGGTGCAACGCATCCCCCCGCCGAGGTGGAGATAGGGGCTGGGGCAGCAGTGGACTGGGTTGCTTGTTTCTCAGTTATTGTGTCACTTGCTGGTGATTCGATCGAGGAGAGGTGCTTAGCGTAATCGTCAAATATGGGAGTTAAGATGCAGTAAGGATCCGCCGCAACATGCTTCGAGATCCATGCTGACACCTCTTTGTTAAGGACTGCCAGTTTTGCCAGGTAAACATCATTCTGGGATTCCGATTTAGAAGATGTAATGAAGAGAGTGGGAGATGGTGTGGATTGAGGGGACCCAAAAACATCAAGAGTTTTAAAGAGGCCGCGCCTGGACTGAGCAATGGGTTGACCAGACTTCCTTCTGGCGATTATAATATTCCGAGCCTTTATGGTAGCCTCGTCAGCTTTTTCAAAAACACCGGGCTTAACGGGTTCATCTGGAGCATCCCAATTATCATAATCCAAAGGCTTGTCGGCAACTCGCTTCGACATGCGGACGCAATTGCTATTTAGGTCTGTACGAAAAACCGGACCTGCGTAGGCTAGTGAACATCAAAGAGTAACGGTCCACAGAAATTATGATAAAATCGTTTAAAGATTTAGATTTCGCCAAATTTGGAATGTTTTGACATGTGTTCCCAGCAAATAAACCAATTATGCTCCAGAAGTGATATGCAGACAGAAAAGCAGGAAAGCTCCCAGTTTAGGTTTTTCAAACAAATTTAACAGCCTTTTGATACAATTTAGTAAATATATGCTAAATTTTTAGAGCTAAGAGAGAAATTATAACGGCTCAATACTTCAGTTTGACTTCATGTCTTGACTGCTGAGATTCAGGCAGCACATTGCCACTGTTGGTTGAGCTTACTTAGGCATTACACCGAAAGCACTGCTAATTTCTTGTTCGCCAAATATCTGTGCATTTTATGCAACGTCTTGAGACTTCCCACCGAGTGGAAGAATACAGTAACCGAAGCCGGTACACGTATTCCAAAGTGGACAAACCAAATGGGCTTGAGCATGGCCCGAAGGCCAGCCCATGAGTACTAGGGCCCAACAAATCTTAAAGTGATCACCAAACATCAGATGGTCACATATACAAAGCATTAAATTCTATCCAAGTGTTATACCTTTGCTCCCATTTAAAAAATTTTGGAATTCAACAGTTCTGTAGCCCCCTACAACTTTCTTGAAAACTTACATCTATGTGCGCATGGATACATTGGTCCGCATACAAATACATTAACATGTACATATGAAGTGAAGTCGGAGTTGTTGCTTCTGCTCGGAGGCAACCAGGACAAAAATACGTTAAGCTGGAAATTAATTTTCGTGGATCCCTGCAAAAAATACTTCAGTCATGACACTCCGCAAGGGAGGCAAATGTTATTAGCTTGGAGAAGGGCAATAAAGCAACTGACATGGCTCGGTGGTCAGCTTAAATTTCGGTGTGGAAACAGAAAATCTAACATAATCTTGAGCTTGAAAGATAGTTCATTAAGTGGCTCCCGTCTTACTTATCCGTCAATCATAATACTCGCTATGTCAACGGCCCGTGCCATCTGTGAAAACGAAAATGGTGTTGTGATAAACCCATCTACGTGTCAACCGTACCGATTGAAGAATTTATATACAAATGAGGAGGACCTCGATGGAGAAGCCACGGACTTACATTTACAAATCTTATAGATCTAGAAAGTCATTCTGTTTCAAAAATGGCAATGGGTAAGAAAATTTGAAAAGTGTGCCAGCCACAGCACACAATTGAAACGTAAGCGAAAATAGTCTAGCAGGTATACGATTAGTTTCTACCTCCTCGTCGCGTTGAAATCACTTTGGAGAGGCTTAGACATATCTTGCAGCGCTTCAAGACTTCCCATTAGGTAAAAAGGCATTAAGTTGGAATGTTTACATTCATTCTAGGAAGAGAAGGAGAATTTGGGCTTCGACTTGGCCCGGTGGCAAAAGAGCAAGCCGCATAACAAAGCATCCTCCATATGTACATGTGGTCACATAAACAAAGTGTTGCATTAACACTCTCCTCTTACGAGCGACGTCTTCGGTGCTCCTCTTGGTATACCTCCCTCGCCAGCCATCGCAACGCATTCAGCACTACAATGAGGCACTCACGAGCCAGCCGCTCCAGTTATCAGCCACCACGAAACTGTGGAATCGTACTTGCCCTTCTCAGTAGCTTCAACTGAACCTGGAACTGCGTTCCGTCTGAGAGGAACTTCTGCTGAACATCAATCGTTTGCAGAACTAGATGGTGGTACACTGGTCCAAAACAGATGATTGACAGGAGAAATGGGATCAGATGGAAGCCCGTGGGGAAGGAGGTTCGGCGAAGTGTCACCTCCCACGCCTCTACGCGGATGTAGTAAGGGTACTTCCAATGCCTGCTTGTAGGACGTGGGGATGAGGTAGAGCCAAATACAGGCATCATTCTTAATTGCGCTTCCTCTGCACCGCCGAAACGGTGAACACCAGGCTAGAAGAAGTACGAAAGTGGGGTCTACTTTCCACTGCCACCAGTGTAGCGGCCCGAGCCTTCGAACAGGTAAAAGAAGGTGGTAAGCAAAGCTGATTAGATGTATGCTAGGAGGAGACGAAGGAATCGGACCTTGGCTTGACCCGAAGACCAACCTACGTGTACAAGAGTATGACGAATACCAAAGTAACCCTCAGACACATTGGTGATCAAATAAGCAAAGTACTATATGTCTATAGAAGTTCTTTTACATACCTCGTATTAGTAGACGAGATATACTGTATTCGCTCCCTTGATAACATCGCACAGGTATGGTGAGCAGCTCCGTGTGTTTATCGTTACATATTGGCCTTTATTGATGTCTCCTCACTAATCAACAGTTCCACATTAGAGCATAATAAAGAGAAGTATTTAGCGAAATTGACTAATTTCGCCAGCAATTGAGAGTAGATTAATTAAATACCGCATTATTTATCAAATTGTAGCAATACTGCAATCCCTTATTCAACTGCCGTTCTCACTCACGGTAACTCATGCGGTTATACTGCCTTGTCCAGATGAGCTGGCTACCGAATCTTGGCAAAAGTATCAACAATATTTTGCATGCATTAAGCTGTTAGTTAGATTGCCTATATGAGTGATGATCCCTACCGGGTGTGCTGACCTTCAAAGTATGCCTAAGTCTGTCTGATTAAAACCATTCAGCCAAGCCTTATGGCTTATATTGTTCATTGAGAAGCCCCAAGACGTCACATGAGCATATTTGGACACAACAAGTACATCAGACGCTTCAGGGACCAACTCCGCCTGTAATGTTTATGGTCCTTTTTTCGCCTTTGATACACGTAATTATCCCCATTTACTACCTTCTTTTACCCAGTAGGAAGTCACGAGGCCATACACTGGTGACAGTAAAAAGCAGGTACACTCTCACTACAGTCTACAAAAGATGTTTTTCTTAGATGTTTTTGTTTAGCGTTGCATGGGGGTGGCATGAATTGCGAGGAGGGGAACAGTTAATGGGGTCTGAACGTGTTCCCCACGTCCTCCTCAAGCACCACATTTGCTATAACTGTCCATTTTCTATTTACAAGATCAATTTAAATATATACTACGTTTCAGACCCAAGACATCCGTCAAGCGGGAGTCCAATGGTAGCACTATTGAAGCTGCGTCACCAGAAACATTTAAAGTCGTAACAAGCTAAAATAAAATTGACCAAATGCTTTAATGCAGCAGCGTAGCTCATAAATCGCGTTGGTGATGGCGGACACTACGGCGTTCGTCATGCCCATGTATGAGTGAGCTGGCCTAGACTTAATCCATTCTTTTTTTCCTAGAATACCTATAAACAGCCCGGTTTAATATCTCCTTCCGCCTGGTAGGAGGCCTTAAGACCTTGCCATATTTGATGTTTCCCCTTATTTGAAGTCGGAGCATGTTTGTGATTTTGGGGAAACAGAAGACACGTCCTGAATCTTTAAGGGATCATATTATTTTAAGTTACTTTTTCTTGGATGGTTTGTTACAACTACTTGTTTTAAAACGTCTAAATATAGTACATCAAAAGACCTTAAAGGTTTCCGAAAGTCAATGTTCTGCCGGTACGCAAGCATCAAAGACCGACGTAGTTAATTGATAATATAATTCAAGCCTTCTATTGGGCTAGTATTTGTGATTGTTTGGTGTTTATCCATTTAACCTGCCATCGCTTGTTTTAAACTTCTAAGGTTTCGACTCTGACGCCTTTTTTATCGCGATGCCGTTTCGCTCTCGTTCGCCGATCCGCAGGTTTGGTGGGACAAATTTTTTTAACGAAATGAACTAGATGGGGTGGTTCATCATCTAGGCGTACTCGTGATTCAAGTCTTGATGACTTGAAGCCGCCTCGGTGGGATCTCTCTGACCTTCCTCGATTTGAGAAGGTGTTCTACAGGGAGCATCCTGCTGTCACAAATCGTCCTCAGGAAGAGGTTGATAAGTTTAGAGATGAAAATCGCATGACTCTAAGTGGTCGAGATGTACCTCGGCCGATCTTCAGTTTTGGTGAAGTCGGTCTACCCTCGTATATTGTCAACGCATTCCAGCGTGCTGGTTGGGCCACTCCAACTCCCATACAATCACAGGGATGGCCTATGGTTCTCAGTGGTCGAGATGTAGTTGGCATTGCACAGACAGGCTCTGGTAAGACCGCTTGCTATCTGGTTCCCGCTTTGGTTCACATTGAGGCGCAGCCGCGTCTTCTCAGAGATGATGGTCCGATTTGCCTGGTTCTCGTGCCAACTAGGGAGTTGGCGCAGCAGGTTATTCAAGTTGCTGAACAATTTTGCAGTGCTGCGAGACTTAAAACAGTCTGCCTCTACGGTGGGGCACCAAAAGGTCCTCAACATCGCGACCTTCTTAGGGGTGCTGAAGTGTGCGTGGCCACCCCTGGCCGCCTCATTGATTTCCTCAAAACTAGAGCGTAGGATTGCTTTTGTTGTTGATATTTTTGTGTAGGACAAACTTGCGTAGATGCACATATCTGGTCCTGGATGAGGCGGATCGGATGCTGGATATGGGTTTTGAACCTCAGATTCGCAAGATCGTGGAACAGACACGCCCTGACCGTCAAACTGTGATGTGGTCTGCCACCTGGCCGCGAGAAGTTCAGAGCCTCGCTCGTAGCTTTTTGAAGGACTACATCCAAGTTAACATTGGGTCAACTTCGCTCCACGCAAATCCAAACATTACTCAAATAGTTGAGGTGATTGAGGACTACGACAAAGATCAAAAGCTCATAGGTCTGATTAAGTCATTCAACGGTCTTCGATGCCTGGTCTTCGTTGAAACCAAGAAGAAATCTGATCAAATTGCATTCTTCCTTAAAAGAAATGGGATCCGTGCCGCAGCGATGCATGGGGATAAGGTGCAAAGGGAACGTGATGCGACTCTCGATGCCTTTAGACGGAACCATATTACTGCTCTTGTCGCCACTGATGTTGCATCTCGTGGTTTAGGTACGGTTTCCTCCTTGCTGTTTTTTCTTGTCTACATTGCTTCTACACTTATTTTTTACCTCATTTAGATATCGATGACATTGAATACGTCATTAATTATGATTTCCCCAATCAAACCGAGGATTACATTCACCGCATTGGCCGAACCGCTAGGAGCAACAAGAAGGGAACTGCGTTCACCTTCTTCACACCAAAAAACTATAAACAGGCTGGTGACCTCGTGGACATATTGGAAGAGGCTGGACAGCAAGTGAATCCCGAACTTCTGCGCATGGCCGGTGGTAGTTGTCGATTCAGAGGAGCCCGAAATGGTGAGTCACATAGGTGTTGATTTTTTGCGCTAATTTCCATGTTAGCTTATTGGCAATTGGGCGGTGCGTGCATGTCTACGCAGCCGTTGATGTTGAATCTCTTCCTCCCTTACCTTTTGCATTTTTCGATTTGGTCCTGTCCAGGCCAATGAGTGTATCCGTGCTCCACGGAGGTTTCACTTAATGGGCCTCGATCGGATGCGACTGTGTTATGTTCTCCCCCTCGCAATCATTGCTTCATTCCCTGCAGATCGCAGCAGCAGTCGCTTTGCCCCCCGAAGTGGCCATTCAGGACGAACGGGTGGTAGCTATACGAACCATAGTGCTCAGAGTGGACATTCCTCCTACAGAACTCATGATTCGTATTCAGCACGGAATGGAAGTTCGAGTTATAACTCTAGCCTCTCGAAACCCGAGAACCGGTACCAAGATAGGACCACTCCACAATCATCCACTTCACAGGCACCCATTCCTAATCTTGGAGAGAAGCGAACTTATTCACAGTCTTCACTCAGTAGTACCAGCTCTTATCATCAGCTTCCAAAAATAAGCAAGCCTAGCTGGGGTGACAGCGCGGCGCAATCCGCCTTCTCACAAGCGGTACCCCAGGTTTCAGCTGCACCTCAGGGTGTGCAAATTAATAACTGGAGTAACCCGTCCCAGTCGTGGGGGAAAAATAGTCTCCCGACTCTCCTTCCGGCTACGAATCAGGTGCCCAGTAATAATCAATGGCCCAATAGCAACGCCTATGTTCCGGCTCCATTGTCATCACAAATGGCAGCTGTAGCTGCAAAATCAATTCCAGACTACAGTCAGATGCCCCCTCCCACACTTCCATCCTCGGGTAAAGTTGCACCCGTTTACCACACCCCGCTCCCACCACAACCACCCCCTGTGGTCTCTCAACAAGCCAAATCGGCTGCTTACATACCGCAGCCACCAAAGCAATCACCTAGCTATGTCCCTCAACCACCACCACAGGCTGGCTATGCACAGTATGTGAGCCAGGCCCCTCCGACGTATCCCCAGTTACCACCACAAACCTGGTCTCAAGGCTCGTGGCCGTCACATCAACAGTATTCGGGCTATTGAGTCTATCGCATCATCATTTCCCCTCCGATAAGGTCCGCGGGATCTGCCATAATTTCATTAAATATATTAAATAATGCGATCTTTCAGGTTAAGTGTTTCTCATCTATGGTCTTGATAGGTCAAGGCTGACCGTGTTTTAGCACAGCTAGTCAAGCAGCAATAATTAAGCAGTTTCGTTTGTCCTTTTAGGTATTGCTGCTTCACTTTCGAGCAAAATTGCATTGAGACCAGCGTCCGTTATCGGATGAAAACCAGGCATCACGTACACACTACCAGTACTACTACTGTATTTGGAAGGGCCTTTCCTCTCGGAAGGCGAGCATTGTCGACCGGAGGCAAGCCGTAACTCCTCGAGTGGATATCCTGTATTCATTCCTCGGAAAACGGCTTCATCGGTCCTGAGTTGACCCAACTGGGTCATGCGCCAATGTAAGGCGCACACTAGCGATCAGAAATTCTCATACTGTGGGCTTGGTAACTGGTCTCCATAGTTTTAGACCTAAACTTCATACATAAAATGGTGACTAGAAAACGAACTACATTAGTCTTTTCGTGTCCTCGTGTTTTAGGCCTTCAAGCCTGGAACACTAGGTGGTAGTAGGGTTCAGAGACTCACGTAAGTTTGCACCTTATTACTGGTTTCGTTGTTATTTTTTGTGAAAATAAAGACGATTTGAGATCATGAGTTCGCGTAATCAGTTGTTATTTTCGGTCTTTTTACGACAAAGTGTGTCAGACGGAGCTTGTTACAAAAATCCCGTTGCTTCGACTTCTGTGGATTTGCGATCGGTTCCTGGTTTGTTTGGGATTATTCCCGCCCCGTCTTGTAGGTTATTGGTTCTGGCTCCGCGTCTTCCAGACGTTCTTCGCGATCTTCGACAACTGTCACTGCATTGAAGAGGAACGTCTGGGAGTAAGTCGTACCTGCCCAGGTCGCTTCCATCCGGACTGAGCCCAATGGGCTTTAGTATTTCACTTCCAGAGAACAATGCGCTGCCTTTTGCCTTGCCGCGTCCTAGCATGCGTCGCTTCATCAAGCAATACTTGTAGCATAATGCTATACACAAGCAGATTGTCATCAGTAGAACCAGACAGATAGCTCCTGAAAGTGGGATAAATTTTAATTCTCAGTACGAGTGAGATGTGCCTCCATCGAACCTAAAAGTCGCTCACCGAGGCCGAAGTAGAATGAGATCTTGTTCAATTTGATGAGCTTCCCATCCTCCGTCTCCTTGAAGTGGACCTCGAGGCATTTCATGAAAAGTGTAGAATTTGTGACTGACGTAGTTCTCCTACAGATGTTGGCGTTGACCTTGATTTTACAGCTTTTCACTGCGCTTGTTTCGCCGAACTGAATCTGCAGACACGGTTGGTTATAATAGTTAGGAGTTGCTTGGCTTACGCCAGGGCCATGAGAACTTACGGGGTGTCCTGGGTTGCTTCTGACGGTGATGCACATTCTTTCTCCGATGGCTTCATTCGGGGAATCCACTGTGGTTTCTATGACGTCGTTGAGGTAGAAGATAGAACTGTTTTGAAGGGTTAGACTTTTGAAGAAGTATTTCAGCTCCCTGATCTCTGGAACACTAGATCCATGCAACTCGCAGAATTCTGCGGCCTGTGATTTGTCATCAATGGGTTGTTGGTACCACTCAAAGGTGGCAACCTCTCCCGATTCCTCAATGGTTACGCTCTTGAAGCCCAATGGGTCGACGGCAGATGCGAGTCTCAGGACGATTAACGTTGGAATTATGAGTTGTGAGTGCTTCATGACACGTTGGTGCCAATTATGGCGCGTGGTCTTGCACACCCGGCCGAAGTGGCTAAGTGATTTGCATAACACGTTGGCTGTCCAATCCTATCCATTTGCGGTACCCGGGAGATGTGCACACGCTGGGTGATTACTGTCCTCGAGATGTAGATTGATGCGGTTATTCTTTCTATCTAGTACTAACAGACAAGTGATCTAAGTTTTAGGCGTAAAAGGCACCGATGTTGAGATCAGTGGTAAATTTCAGGAAACCAGACGGTGAGATTGGTGTCAGGATACCTCTGTGAGGAGGTGGGCTTCTATCTCCAGTTGCATCTTCCCGTTTTACATCACTTGGTGATATTAGGGATGGCTTTGAACGTCTTGAAGATGTGGTGAGTTTGCTCCGCGTTGAACAGTGACAACAACCCTATCAGCGCTAAACACCACTAGGTATGAGTGGTACGTTTCGTCTGGGCAGTTTTAAATCCGAACAGGGGAACAAATTGTAGACTGGAGATAATATGTAAGGAAGTATCGGGCATCTAATTTTCTATAGGTTGGTATGCATCGAAAATTGGCCAGTGCAATTTCTGCTTCTTATTAGACTTGTCAACTTCGTGGTTTTTTTTAAGGCGACAAGAACTCCTTTTTGCAGCTTTACTTAGCTTACGGCAGCTGGAATTTCTGGGCATAAGGTTCCCTTCCGCAATTGTAGCGACATGACCTGAGTCGCCAAAATCAATGGTGACTGTACATCGGGGAACGTGTTGCACCCTGTTCCCAATAGGAACAAGTCGAAGACCACGAGAAATAGAATGTATTGGTAGGATACACACGAAAACATAGGATGCGAAAGTGTTGCCTGACTATCAAAATTATTGCAATGAGGGATGGTGGTGATGATAGAGGGGAGAGGCACTGACGTTGTGGAGAGCTCCATACAGCGGTAGGAAAGGGGGAGGGAGGAGGAGGAGTGATCTGCTTCCGTTTGATTTGCTGTAGTATGAGGGATTGGACTAGGGAAGAGACACCACCTTAGGAGATGATGCACTTCTACAAAAAACCAGGTACAGAAAATGGGAAGGCAACGTAAAATCGAGACAATTGTAAGCTAAGGAAAAAAACGCCCAAACTAGCAGTACACATTAGACGCCGATAAAATTCGAACAAATCACAAACTGTTAGGTTTACGCAATTCAACTACTGTGTCCAAGTCAGTATTTATCCTTTTCACGGCTGGCGAATTAATTTGTCAGAGTCAAATTTTCAGCGCTGGGTAAGGAGACAGGCTGAACCGAGGTATGGAGGTGTTCACGAGACGAGGACCAAGGCAGGGCATGCCCGTAGGGAAGGGTTGATTCGTAGCCTACTACCAGGAAAGAGGGAGTTTGCTACTAAGAACACGAACCGGTTACCGAAGCGATATCTGTACAATGATAGTTATCCTTGAGGGTTTTCAATTTTTTCCCACTGCTAGCGAGGAATATACGAGGTTAGATTTTGAGTCGCACACGCACAAGTTGTTTTGCATGTCAATAAGATAAAAAAAGCATAGACAGAAGAAATTAAATTCATGAATTCATAGCCTCAGTGGAAAAAAGAAACAAAATTCCCATACTTTCCGAGCTTTACTTTCGCAAATACCATGGTGATACCGCCCCCCGAGTAGCATTACCAAGGTGATGCTATGCGAAAAATCTGATGATGCCGTTTCTATGACACTTGGTCTAATGAGAGCACTTGGGCATTAATCGCCAGAGAATACTCGTGACCTAGTTGAGGGTGAAAGGAGGGACGGAAACCCAAATCAAGAAGCCAAAAAAACAGCTCTGACCTTAGACACACACAAACACACACACATGAACGAAAGGCAACTCGTCATAAGCGCAGTGGAGAGGTCACTGATCATCAAAAATGCATAAGTCGCGAAGTAAGGACCATGTGAGCATCAAAAGTAATCCCTTCACAAAATCTGCGGTTCAGTGAGTGTAGACAGACTACTTTTCCTGAGATTGAGTGTGTGACCATGACACTGCAAAAGTAGTCATTCGAGCACACAGTAAGCACAAAAGGTTGACCAAATCATTTTGCGCGCATTCAACGACGGTAGTCCATTCTTTTCAACGGAAACTCAGATCGCATAAACCAGTTTTCTTGGTTCTAAGAACTCTGCACTCCGATTTCCATTTTTTACCATTTTTACTCTCAGACTTTCTAACCCCTTTGAGAAGCAACTATTTAATTTTGGTGGTATAATGATAAGCATAATCTGAGGAAGCACTAGCAAAAAATTGCAGAGGCCGAGGATAGGACAACCGCTTCCTCATTCCAAACGACAGTCCATGTGATGATACGCCAGTGCAAAATTGGACAAACCCAGATCTGCATGGAAGGAAGTGCTGAATGAATGGGTAAACCCTGGCATCTCTTGCGCCGCCAGGAAATAATCACGCAAATGATCAACCTATTGTGCACACAAAGCTGGTAAATGTGTAGTTCCAAATTTCCAATTAAGGGGTTTACTGGAAGAAACCCTTCCATATCACTTTTTGATCTAGGAATGAGCATCCAACAATAGTTTCAAAAAGCCAACAACAACGCTTTCCTGCGTACAATCCAAACGTACCATTATAGAAGGCATTCCTGTGGCATCCATCTGCAAGCATTGGTAACACGGACGCTCAACAAGCAGCCAATTAGTTCAAACTGATTAATTGCTGGTTAAGGGCCAGCCACATGGAGGTCTGTATGACCTCAAAACTAAAAGAGGGTAAGAACGTGACCACACTAGCAGAGCAACAGATGAAATCTTGATGAACTCTACAAAACGCACGCATACACCAAGGATATCTACTGTATCAACTTTCCAATTTGGAGAATGAAGAAAGAGCGAGTTTCCAAAAACAAAATCGCCATAGCTTCACTTCGACAATGCGAAGGCAGACCGGTTTTTGTCAGAAGACGAGCAAAATTGTGCGGATAAAGCGCATAAATAATGTTTAAGCACAACTGAG